ACAGAAAACAAACTTATGATTACCGAAGGGGAAGAGGGGTAGGGGAGGGATAAATGTGGAGACTTGGATTAATATATACACATTACCATAAATCCACAAAAGACCTCCTACATAGCACAGGGAACCATACTCAGTATTCTATAATAACTTGTAAGGGAAAACTTATATATATAACTGAATTGCTGTGCTTTATACCTGAAACTTAGGTGATATTATAATTCAACTATACTTCCATAAAAATTTTTATACAAAAAGAGTTGATACTCTAAAATTCTGTGATCCCAGACAACTATGTTGGAATTGATATTGTGACCTGATCAAGATGTACGGCTTTATTTTTAAGACTCCACTGTTAACCAGTTGGCATTTAGGAAGGACAGAATATGTGAACAGCACCTCTTTCAGGAACAGAATTGCTGGCAACTGTCCCACAGCACATCTAAAACCTCAGAAGCAAAGACCGTAGTTCAAGCAAACAATTCCAAATAAGCAAACAGTACAAGTTAAGCATTCATTCAAGCACTTCATTTTTAAATCTACAGAAAGCACCTTCTCCATGAATTAACTTATCTTTGCTCAGATTCCTATCTGTCCCACCCTAGCTTTTAACATAGGACCAATATATAACTCCTCCTTCCTAGGACTAAAAGTGACACAGCACCTAAAAACAAATTCCAGATTTCTGACTTCGGGATAAATCAGGTGCAGTATAATAGGTTAGCACAGTAATTTTAATGACAGCTGCCTTTTGCTGCTAATAGCACACTTATTAGGTTGATATCATGTAAGTGTTTATGCTACATAGTTATTCATGCCTCAATTATATTACTATGTGATTTCATATTTATGTAATAGGAGAGCCATTAATAAGATGTACATGAATTAAGCCCAATAAATGTGTGGAACTCGGAGTGGACATTAAGAAAGCTTCCTTCATCAAGCTGAGGTATTCATCTTTGTTTCACCACAGATTGAAGACAACACTTGCCTTAGAGAATAACTTTTTCATGTCATTTAGCTTCCTAGAAAGCGGTAAGGCATGTTGCTTGCCATTGTGTGCATTTTTTGAAACAGTAAACCATTACATCCAGCAAACATATTGGATGACTGAGACAAAAACAAACACAAAAAGTGCTTGAGATCATTAACTGGAGCAGAAGTGTTGTTCTATTAGAGATAGGGACCCACACGGAACGCTGAGGAACCCTGAGTTCAGGCAGCCGTCCAAAAGCGTAAATGTCTACCAGCCAGTGATACAAATGCATACATCTGACCAGATGAAGGTAACAGGGGTTGTTCAGGCTGATGACAGAAGCAAACAAACAAAACCACCCAATGGTGCTGGGCTCCATCCAGTTGTTGCCATGAGGGAATACGGACTCGATATCTTCAACTTGTTTTCAAGAGAAGTCAGAAGTCTGGAACCCTATGTACAGTCTTGACCCTGAATTTTTGGTAATAGTCAGCTTGGGGTCTGCCAGTTTGTGACCCCTGTCCTCGGGAGATGAACTCTGTGCGTACTCTTTCTGCTCAGATCCGGGCTCCTTGAGAGCTGCAGTTACTCTTTTATCCATCCTTCTGTTCCCGAGAACCAAGCACGCAGTTTGGGGGGACCTTGCCAGCCATCAGGTAGCATGTTTAGCACTTTACAATCATCTTCCTCCCTACCTTTCACAGCAACCTTATGGGTAGTTACTGCTGTTTTCATCATTTGACAGATAAGGATGTTGATACTTAGAGAAATGATGTCTGAGGTCCAAGTCCCCATAACTCAAAAGTGGGCAGACTTGATCCTTGAACCCGATTCTTTAGATATTATCTCCTAACCACTGGCTCAGTGCCCCCTGCGGATGCTCCTGCACCATTATGTTTATCCCCAGTCATAGCATTTGCCTCTCTTTGGTGTCACTGTCTTTTCCTTCTAGCTCCTGCACCTAGTTCAAAAGTTTGAGTTTTGAAGAGATAGATAAATGAGCAAATATGACCAGTGTCACAGTGGGAAAGCGCAACAGCATAAGGAGAGCATCCTTCAATACTGCGGATGGGGGACCGCTGTGCTGTCGTTGCAATGGTCATTTGATTTATATGCAAAGAGCTTGTGGCTTTATAGGCATGCTGGGTGAGCAGAGAGTTGAGTATTTGTTTATCTTCTCCTGTTGGTCCTTCTCCAATCCTCAACCCGCCCCCCACCCCACTCACACCCCACCATGGAACCCTACGCCTTCTCTTAAGGAGAAATGGAGAATTTGACATGTCTTGCAATTAACTGGAAAACTCACCCTCTGTCTGTTGGAACCGTACCACACAACACCCAGGTGGGTGCTTCTGTTCCCCCTGGGCACCCCCGCCGGCTGTGTCCGCCGGAAGACAACCACAGGAATTCCACCCACACGGAACACAGATGGACGGGAAAGGACCACCCAGGCTGGAACCGGCAGAGCAGTCTCAGCTCAGGGTGGACAGACAGGAAGCAGGAGGGTCTGGTGTCCCATTTAGGGAGCGAAATCCCTCACACGGCCTCTTTGTGCTTCGGGAGGGTGTAGCTGGAGGGTGGGGGCCGAGGGAGACGGAAAGTTAGGGCTTGGGGCTGGAGGGGGGCGGGGTTCTTGCTTGTACTCTGATTCATCTCGCCTTCCCGAGGCAAGGCTCATAATTACCTAACTAATGGAGAATAATGACACCACTTGGATGGGAGTTGAGAGGGGGAGAAAGAAAGGCATGAGAATTCATTAACCTTGTGTGAGGGGCTTAGATAGCATCTCTGAAGGATCATTATTACATCATTTCACCCCCTCTTCTCCCCTCTTTCCACTAATACGAGACAGACAAATGCTAAATAACTATATAATAATACATTGCAAGACAGACAACAATGCCAGAAAATATAATAGCCTGCTACAGCAATGAAACTCCCTCAAAGTTATATTTAAAATGTCAGTGGTGCAGAATGGAAAATACGAATTAACAGGTTCATTTGGAGGACGTGATTTAAAAATCTACACAACTATATGGTGGCATTTCCCACTGGGTTTTAGTTTTAGTCTTTTTCCATACACAACCCCCCCCCCAAAAAAAAAATCACCCAAGTAATTTCAGCCCAGAGACACAACCTTCGAGGAACCACTTTCCTCTGTATTTTTCTTTCCTGTTTGCAATGGTCTCGATGCTCCCCAAACCTAGTATCTTCTTGACATGTTGCCTTTCTCTCAGAACGTTTCTGCAGGCCTCCCAGGAGCCATGGAATGTAGATTACACCTTTTGGAGATGTAGCCCGGCCACATAAGGAGACAAGTAGTTGAAATTTGTGTCAAATTGCTTGTTTAAATGACTTGAGCCAACTTCTTAGAGCCAGGACAGCAGGGGCTGAGGATTTTCAAAGTTGGCAGGGGCCAAAATGACAAGGCTCGGCAGTCACCTGGTGGGCTGCCAAGCCCGACTGGAGGCTTCAAAAAATAAACTTTCTCAAAGGACACAAATTAAAAGTCATGTTTCAGCAGCCATTAAAACCAAATTATAGGCTTGCGTTGCATAGTGAACTGCTTTCATTTTCATTACGCTTAAAGTGTTTCACTTTGTAGATGGAGAATGGATTGCCAGGAAGACTGTGGATGGGATTGTCATCCTTGGTCATATTTACAGGGGAATATGTAGAGGGGTGTGGTTGTCCTTTGTGTGTTTTTCCTGCAAGAATGGAGGATTTCAAGATTAGAAACTAGGATGCAATTTTGAGTAAGGGTCACGATTTGAAAACATCAACCCTGACCTTCTCCAGAGACCAAGTCCTCAGGGCTCATCTCTCAGAGGACAGATGTTATCAAGCCCCTTATCTGAGTGAGCTCATAGGTGTATTTTGTTGACTCTCATTTTTAAAAAGGTATACATAGATACATGTGAATGTGTATAAACATGAAAGTAAAAGTGTCAGTCGCTCAGTTGTGTCCGACTCTTTGTGACCCCATGGACTGTAGTCCACCAGGCTCCTCTGCCCATGAAATTCTCCAGGCAAGAATACTGGAGTGGGTTGCCATTCCCTTCTCCAGGGATCGACCCAGGGATCGAACCAGGGTTTCCAGCATTGCAGGCAGATTCTTTACCCTCTGAGCCACCAGGGAAGTCATATGTAGGCATATGTATGTATATATGGTGTGTGTGTATATATAAAATATATGTGTGTGTGTGAATATATATATAAATAGACATACCCAAAACCCACGCGTATATATTTTCATCATCAATATTTTTTAAAAAACTCTAAAAGTCCAGATCTTCAGCTTTCCTAGAAAAACTAGAAGATTAGTTGCCTTGATCTCTAACCCCTAAATAGCCACGTGAGCCTTGATCTGAGTGAAGGCTGTTCCCTACCTGCTCCCGTTCACCCCAATCCACTTCACTTTCCTGCCTGGCCCCTGATAGCTGTTTAAACTTGCTACTCCCTGATTTCCAGTATGCCATATTCTTATACCTTCAGAAAAATGCCATACCGTTATTTCTTTTCATCTTTATTTTGGCCACACTTCACCACATGTAGGAGTTCCCTGACCAGGGATCGAACCCATGCATCCTACAGTGGAAGTGTGGAGCCCTAATACTGGACTGGCAGGGAAGTCCACCCCCTCCCCTCTTTTTGGACATTGTTTAAAGAATGGAGTGTCCTGGCTTACCAGGAAATGGGCTGGGAACTTGTTACAACAATGGTCAACCTTGAATGTCACATGACTTCCCTTGTGGAATTAATAAGTTTCAAATAATTCCCACTGGTCAGCCCTCACCAGCCTGCTTTTGCTAACCTAGCTTCTCATTCATCATTTGATGCCTACCTAGAGGCAAATCAAGGCGTACTGTTTATTAGTAACTGACCCTGGGATGCTTGATGTAGTCTTACCTGCGTTTCCGGTTGGTGATGTTCAGCACTTGTCAACATCAAGGCTTTGGTTCCAGGTGGAGTGTTCGCAGCGGCGTCCGGCAGCCCCTGACGGCCGTTTCTCCTCCTTTTTTTCCAGGTCCTCCAAACCACCACAGCCAGTCGACTCTGAGGCCCCCTCTGCCACCCCCGCACAACCACACGCTGTCCCATCACCACTCGTCCGCCAACTCCCTCAACAGAAACTCGCTGACCAACCGGCGGAGTCAGATCCACGCCCCGGCCCCCGCACCCAATGACCTGGCCACCACGCCCGAGTCCGTCCAGCTTCAGGACAGCTGGGTGCTGAATAGCAACGTGCCGCTGGAGACCCGGTGAGTCCCCGTCGTGATCACACGCGCCTCCTTCCTGCCTCGCCCGCCCTGAGCCTCGGGGGGTGGGGGGCGCAGGGCTCTAGTGGGGTGAAAACCCCGCCTACCCTGCGGGACAAGTTGACCAACTCCATCTGTTCCCTTGGTAATTCCACCCTGGACAGCAGGTTGATAGGTATTTCTTTTGTTCACATGTGTCTCCTTTTAATGCGTGTTTACTTTCTTCGATAGCTCCTGTGTACCCAACTAATAGAATTAGCATAACATATTTTTACACAAAGGCTCATGGGAAACATGCTTATAAGGGTATATTGACTGAAAGCTGCTGATAAATTATGCATTTAGCCTTTCCTGAAGTAATAAATGAAGACTCATTTGAAATTAAGTGTTTGGGGAGACCTTGAGAAACAATCCCCGATTCCAGACTGACAGAAGTATAATTTTAATTTATATTTCATCCAACATGCAGTCTCTCTTTAATCCCTCCTGTACACACTTTTTAACAGCTTGATGCCTGAGGGGCAAACAACAATGTAGAAAAAAACAAACAAGAAAAAAGGGGCAGCATTTATGTTGAAAGGGAAGAGTTTGAAAGTGATCTCCAGGCCTGGCTTTGTTTTGTTTTGCGTTTGCTTCTGTCCTTTTCTCACCTTTGCTTCTGGTCTTCCAAAATCACCCTTAGTGACCTGAAGGAAGGGGCATTGGTCACAGCATGGCAGGCTACAATGTACTTGGCAGTGGGTTGACCAGATATTGGAATGGTCCTGTTTTTCCATCCCCAGGCACTTTCATGGTGTGTGTGCTTCAGTGGTCACTGTCTCCTAACCCAGAAGAACTATGGAGACTAAACAGAGAATGGGGATAATTCATATTGAACCTTCAGAAAGTTCTCATATAGTTTTTAAACTTTAATAACTTAGGTTTAAGAAAAGACAAAAATGATCTGTAATCTTTCTGGTTATGGCCAGTGAATTTTCTGCATGCAGCTGGAAATAATTATGCAAGCCATGTTGTTTCTTATCTCTAATATTTTTGTGTTATTAAGATCTCGAAAACGTTGAACACCATTGTCACTATAGTCACTTCAAACTTTAATGCATTTTATTTTCTAACCAGTGTAGGTGATTTGTAACCATGCCTGCATTCTTAATCTCTAAGGTTTACAATAAGTAAACTCAATAGAAACTATATGCATATATTATATATAATAGATAGGTTTAAACATTTGCATTGATATAATAATCCACTAATAAGTAGCTTTATGGAAGGGTTCCAGGCTGAAAGCTAACTGGTCCACCAGGCTTAACTCAGGATATGTTCATAGTTGGTGGTGGTCTTTAAGACTGGATAAGATTTTCTTTTTTTTCCTTATATTTATGAACTGCATAGAGTTTGTTGGGTACTAGTCAGTCTATTTTCACATTAACAGACCATTACTTGAAAAATATTAATAGTTGCGAGACATGAGGCTATGCACAGTGGATAAGATGGAGGAAAAGGAGAAAGGGTAGGAGAAATGTAGTAGATATTGGGAAAGAGAAAAAGAAAAAAGGAAAAAAGAGCACTATCATCACCAGTACCAACCAGTTTTCATTGTGCACTTTGTCTATGCCAGTGTTAGTGGTTTAAATGTATTGTCCCAATCAAACCCAGAAGCATTTCAGTCAAGTAGGAAGAAATCATTGTTGTCACCATTTTAAAAATTCAGAGTGTAGACTGGAGGGTCAAAGTAACTTGCAAGCATTCTAAAGCTTCAGTTCAGTTCAGTTCAGTCGCTCAGTCATATCTGATTCTTTGCGACCCCGTGAACCACAGCATGCCCGGGCCTCCCTGTCCATCACCAACTCCCAGAGTCCACCCAAACCCATGTCCATCAAGTCGGTGATGCCATCTAACTATCTCATCCTCTGTCATCCCCTTCTCCTCCTGCCCTCAATCTTTCCCAGCATGAGGGTCTTTTCAAATGAGTCAGCTCTTCACATGAGGTGGCCAAAGTATTGGAGTTTCAGCTTCAATATCAGTCCTACCAACGAACACCCAGGACTGATCTCCTTTAGGATGGACTAGTTAGATCTCCTTGCAGTCTAAGGGGCTCTCAAGAGTCTCCTCCAACACTACAGTTCAAAAGCATCAATTCTTCAGTGCTCAGCTTTCTTTATAGTCCAACTCTCACATCCATACATGACCACTGGAAAAACCATAGGCTTGACTAGACGGACCTTTGTTGACAAAGTAATGTCTCTGCTTTTCAATACGCTGTCTAGGTTGGTCATAACTTTCCTTCCAAGGAGTAAGTGTCTTTTAATTTCATGGATGCTATCACCATCTACAGTGATCTTGGAGCCCAAAAAAATAAAGTCAGCCACTGTTTCTACTGTTTCCCCATCTATTTGCCATGAGGTGATGGGACCGGATGCCATGATCTTAGTTTTCCGAATGTTGAGCCTTAAGCCAACTTTTTCACTCTCCTCTTTCACTTTCATCAAGAGGCTCTTTAGTTCTTCTTCACTTTCTGCCATAAGGGTGGTGTTATCTGCATATCTGAGGTTATTGATATTTCTCTTGACATTCTTGATTCCAGCTTGTGTTTCCTCCAAACCAGTATTTCTCATGATGTACTCTGCATACAAGTTAAATAAGCAGGGTGACAATATACAGCCTTGATGTACTCCTTTTCCTATTTGGAACCAGTCTGTTGTTCCATGTCCAGTCTAAATCTTCAGTGAGATGGTAAATTATGAGTCACATTGGATGGAACTCTGGTGATTTCTACACATAAAATAAGATGTTGAGATATCTGATCACAAACCTACAATTATTGCCTTGATTGTCACATCATCAGAGAAAGATCCATCAGAATGTCCACTCCTCACAGAGTCTCTCATTGGTGATGAGAACACATACACTGCATGAGGGTATCTCCTATCATCCATCACATTCTGATGTGATTGGCAATAAATATTTCCCTTGAAAAGATCTGGGGGAGAGGACCAGCAAACCAAGCATATCCCCTTCCTGTTCTCCTGAAGTTCTCCCAGAACATGCCTTCCAACCTGTCAAGTCCTTCTTCAGGTTATTAGAATACTTAGCATTTCTCCTAGGATTGGAGTTTCTCAATGCTTTTAGAGTAAGCAAGCTTGAAGAGTTAATAAAATGGCCAAAACCTTGAAGCCTATGAGATGGCAAGAACAGTATCAGATGTTCTCTGATCAGTACATTCAAGGGCCAAGAATTAGAGAATGTAAGTCACTTGAGATGGGCCATTACTAAAATCAAACCCAGATATTTGAAATTCCATCCATAGAACTGAATACATATTATTTGAATTTGCAACTGGTCTTGTATTGAATTGTTGAACTTTATGTTTCTCTTTTAGATATTATTTATTCAGTAACTTATTAGCAAATATTTACTGAGTCTCTTGAAAATACTAAGTGCCATGTTAGGTACTGGAAAGATTATGATTAAAACTTGTATTCTTCCCTTAGAGCTCATACAGCCTAAAAAAGGAGATAGGCACATAAACAGAAAGATCGTGCAGAGTTTACAGTAATGGAAGTCTGTAAGTTACAGTGGTTGAACAGTTGACATCATAATTAACTATTCCAGATGTTCAGGAAAAGTTTTCCAGCTGAGGGGCTGTTTGAGCTGGGTTTGGAAGGATAAATAAGAGTTTTACCTAATAGATAGTGGAGAAAAAAAAATCAAAGATTGTGGCATCATTTGTTCCCATTCTTCAGTGATTTTTCCTTATAGACTTGGAAACTGTAGAACTGAACAATTTCACTCACTCAAATGCTGAAATATTGTTAGTTTAATGGTGTCATTTTCTTACCCATAGAGCAAATGTAGGGAATGGAAGCTCTTAAGTTAGGGTAATGATATCATACTGGGATTCCCATTCGTGTCTTTCATATCAAATAAGAATTGATTAACCACATCTGAGAGAGAGAACCACTGAAGGCAAGACATTCTGGAGGCTGATTATGATGTAGTCATCAACTGTGAAAGTGCAATGGAAACTTACAAACAAAACTTTATCACCCCTGATCTCATTAATCTAGACTTCTGGGCATGATGGAAGAATTTCATAACTCTGGAAGGCAATGGGTAGGCATTCTGCCACCCCAGAGATTCCAAGCCAAATCCAAGGTGTTTTTTTAGACCAGCAAGGAATAAGCCCTTGCCCCCTGCATTGCTTGTTGATGTTCCCATCAGTCTTAATGAGGCACGTTAGATCTTCCCTGGACTGTGCTTTTTCCATTTTTTGTTATGTAACAAGTAGAATCAAGGTGCTGGTTAAGGAGGCATAGCCAGAAAACAGTACTGTACAAATTTGGAATTTAACACAAGACAAAAAAAAGCTTATAAGGAAAGTTCTGTATCAATGTCAACCATATAAATTAAAAATGCATATAAATGCCTACTACCCAAAACAATCAGTTCATGTGTAAATCATAATATAAGCCAAGAGAAACAAAACATAGGGCAGAGGAACTATTTGCAAACAGCTTGGATGGTCTACAAAATCACTCCTCACCATCTTTCTCTCAGCCTGCTTGCAGAAGGTCTTAGAACAAGGTCCACGGGTAATTCTGGGCTGATACCACCTATCTCCTCCTTCCTATCCTGAGAGCAACAAGGTCAAGAATCTTTCTGGCCAGCTGCTTCTTTGGGAGTTTCTGAAGTCAGCATCTCTTTGTCTAAAGTAGTAAAAAGTAGCTCAGTGACAGAACCTAACTTTCCTTCCGTCGTGCATTTTGCTGAAGCAAGCTTCTTTCTCGGCATCTATCTCTGGTAGCAGGTCACTAAAGAAAATCCCGAAGCAGGACAGAACTTCTCTCTGAGTTTGCTTTTGCCCCAAAATACCAGAATAGCCATCAAGATCCTCAAGCCGCAAACAAGTTTGCAAGTTACTTTTTGAAATGGTCATCCGTGACTCATTAGAGAAACATCTATGAGACCCAACCAGGTGCCAGGCATTGAAGAAGAAGAAAAGCAAG